ATTCATTTTGCGGCACGAGATGGAGGTACAGTCTGACTATAAACCAGATGAAGCAGCCTAATCCTGAACTACCACTTCATTCTTACATACTATTGGTGCAGTTGCTGCTCAGAAAATTGCCTTTGGAGGCAGAATGAAAGAGCATTTTCCGTATTTCAATGCAACATCAATAATAAAAAAAAAAAAAAAAGGCCCTTAATTGATTACATCTTCATGTCTCTAATGGGAGGCTCCAAGCAATCCAACAAAGCACTGAACGGATTAATGTGATAGAAATAGCAAAACAATTCCTGTTCTAGGGAGGTCATTGGATATCCACCCGTGCCATCAGGTCATGAACAAGTCACAGGTATGAGGCCTGTTTAAAGGAAACGAAACAATACTTAAGAATTGATTTCATAAAATAAATTTATGGGACAAATACAAGTATCCACAGTAAAAGAAGCAAATGATATAGGGCCAGATCTACTATTCTGCTGTATTGTATACAATTTTGAATTACAGGATTCAACATCTACACTGCAGCACGTTTATCAGAAACACTTACAATCCCACTTAACTGACGTTTTTGTTAATGTTTTGGATAGTTCTACCTCAGTAGGACAAGAAACTGTTGAATACCACTGTTGGGTACCTCACACGTTGCATTAGCATCCTAAGAGCCGGTAAAGTGAATTAGTGTGACATACAGCCCACGTACTTTTTAAACCCACAAAGACACGCATCGTGCTCACTGCTGACAGATGCGGGGCACACCTGTAAAGACAGAAGCCCTAGTTTTCCTCTTATTTTGTTCGTTTCTCTTTCTCCTGAGCGCCGAAACAAGCTATCCCTCCCCTCCATTTTCTCCCTTCCACGCCGCGACCCCGCGCCGGGCGCGCAGGGCTGGCGAGGCCGCGGGGCCCCCACGCAGCCAGGGGGGCACAGGGCGCCTTAGTTAAGAAAGCGCACGGCTGTTAAATCGCGGTTTACCCCCCTCAGGTGAGGCCCTGCCCTCCCGCCGGCCGGCAGCCGTGCTCTCGCTG